TCTCTGCTAAAATTATCTTTGAAAATAAGAGAGTCCTGAGACTTTATTTAAATGGATAAAAGCATCCGAATGTGCCACTGAGCGGAATTGAATAAAATATACTAACTTTTAAACTTTTACGTTTCATGGTACATAAAGGAAATACCGTTAAATGAAATCCGTATGTTTTCATTAAACGCTAATATGAGAGACGCGGTACCTCTTTTGTATAAAATACCATTGTTTATCATTTTTTAGGGTTCCGTACCTCAAAAGGTAAAAAAGAAACCCTTATAAGATCATTTTCTTGTCCGTCTGTCCGTGTGTCCTTATAGGAACGAGTAAACCTAGCAAGTTGAAATTTAAACCAGATACTGAGGTCTATGGTCCCTATAAGGTGTACAAAAATCAAGGTTCTGAGTCAACACGATAAAAAGATATGAGCAAATTACGATTTTCGTTAAAACTTGTAAGTACCAAAATTCTAGGTCAACCGGAAGTACCCTATAGGTTTTGGGTTCAAAACCTACATATATGGTAGTTCCCGTTGACCTAGAATCACGAATTTTTGCAAAAAGAAACGTCTTACAGCACAAATAAAGGAATAATTCCAAAAAAATAAGAAGAGTTAAGATAAATTAAGAAAAAATTTGGTACTTACAAATTTTCGCGAAAATCTACGTAAAATCTAGGTAGGTACGGAATCCTCGACGCACGAGTTCGACTCGTACCTGACGGGTTTTTAATTGTAAAAAGTTCAGGTAAATTAATCTCTCCATCAGCACATATCAAATAGTCTGAAGTTGAACAGACCTTTTATAAAAATAATCTTATCATACTTTCTTATCTAACGTGTTGGTTATAAATATAAAATTAGCTCTCAGTGTGGTGACGGACTAAAAATACGGAGTGTCAGAATAGGGGTCTATTCATCATGGGTGTCGTAAGAGCCGACTAAGAGAGCAAACTAGGCAGGACAACAGCACTGCAAAGAGAAGGACCTTGAAATAAATCCTTTTCTTTTTTTTTTACGTGTGGAAATCCCCTCGGACCGTCACCCCGCCGGGGCTCTCGTTCGGCGGGGCGGTGTGTCGGACTCGAACCGACTAAAACCACACGGTGTGCCCTCTTTGCGCTTCCAGTTTAGGAGGGGTCCAGGTAGTTATCGCCTTCTGGACCCCTCCCAGCGCCGGCCCGCTCCTGTTTGCGGGCTCCGTCTCAAAATTTTTTCCTCTCTTTAGGCGACGTCCGGCACACGCGGACGCCACCCCCTCGCGGCTGGCCAACTAATGCGGGTGGAGGGGAGAACCCATCCCGTCCACCCGCGGCCACACTCAGGGCGGCATGAGGCGCAGGTGAGCGCGCCTCCGCCGCCCGGTTCGCCGGCGGCGGATCAGGTCCGAGTGGAGGTCGTCCTCCCGGGCCTTCTCCGCCGCCTCCTTCTGCGAGATTACTTCCTCGCAGAAGGTTGCGACCGCGGTAAAACAACTTTCGCTACCGGCCATGGAGCGAATTACGGCCGAGAGATCTGCTCCGATGACTGCAGTGAGGGCCCAGCGCTGCGTCGCCCATGCGGGGCAGACGTGCGTGTGCTGGGCCGAGTCCTCACTGCAGTCTCAGTGGTGGCAGGCGGGACTTGATTCCCTCCTAGCGACCGAGTACAGGTACTTTCCGAAGCAACCGTGCCCGGAAAGCACCTGCGTCAGCCGGAAGGAAAGGGTCCCGTGCTGCCGTCCTGCCCACTCAGCGATGACCGGCTGGAGAGCCTCCACGGCGGCGAAGCCAGCGCGTGGAGTCTCCAGCCGGAGCGACCATCTGACCATGGTGGCTCGACGAGCGGCTTCGCGCCACTCGCGCACGTCTTCGGGTGGAGTGTGAAATCCGCTCTCCGTCTGGAAGTCAGCCACTCGCCGATAAACTTCAGCGAGCACATCCGCCTCCAAATCCCACGGGGGTGTTCCGGCCAAGGACCTTGAAATAAATCCTATACCAACCCGTCTGGCCAGCGTAGTATAGTAGGCTAAAACCTCCTTTCTAAAGAGAGGCCTATGTCCAGCAGTGGACTATTAAAGGCTGTTGATGTGATGATATGATGATTTTGCTTGTACAAACAAAATCTTTAGCTTCGTATGTATAAGTAGTAAGGTTATTTAATGACGGAAAGGAAAAGTTAACCTTAGCTAAGGACACTAATAAATTAGATTGAATTTTATATTGTTTATTTAATTTCAACATTAATTAGTTAATGTTTATTGTGTGAATATTATTCAATGAAACTTACTTATTACGATAATTATAACAAAGTATATTTATTACACAGATCCATCCACACAAATTTTCGCGTACATTATTACTATTAGAATATTTGAGGGCTCATGGCTCAGTGATAACCGAATAATTTAACAAGTTGCAATGTTAAGCAATCCTTGCCAGGTCTGTCTATGGATGGGTGACCATTCTTAAAACATTGAGACCCCTTTATGGCTCGAAGAACTCGTTAAGTCGTCGGTCCCGTTTGTTATACGAACAACTCTGGCAATCGTTACGGGTAGTTGTTGCTCTTAGAAAGTCCGACAAGTCTTTCTACAGAACTTCGATATCGCCTAGTACTTGGGCTACGGAGGTCTGCTCGCAGTCGCTCGAAGTTCAGCCGTATCGTAGGAGACTTGAAACCGACCCCAACCTAGTTTGGGAAAAAGGCTCGGAGGAAGATTTTATTAATATCCATACATACAGCCGTCCATCCATACAAACTTTCGCGTTCAATATCACTAATATAATATAACATCGACTGCCTTGGTGGCGCAGTGGTAGCGTATGCGACTGCTTTCCCGGGTGGGACCAAATGTTTGAATGATCTGCAAATATTTGTGTCGGAGTTTGAGTGTTTTCTATGCATAATATGTATGTAAAAACAAAGTAAATACGTATTCTATCAGTCAATCTAGCTTTCATAGTACAAGCTCTGCTTAGTTCAAAACTAGATGGATAGTCTAATCCCAAATTAGGCAGAGCTATGGTAACCAGATTCCTGATAGACATACCTAAATATTTCTACATTATTAAAGAAAAAATACACTCAGACAGAATAAATGATCGTCTTCATCACACAATTATTTGTCCTGAGTCGACATCGAACCCTAAATCTCCATTTTAGCAGTTAGGGTCACTTAGCACTGGGCCAACAAGTCAAATAAACCTTATAAGTTCCATATAGACTAATACAAAATGTAAACAACCTCGTATCTACAGTCATAATAATATTTTCTAACACTTAACTAAAACTTATTGCAGTGCGGTGACTCTCAAATAGACGAAATTAAAACAGCGCTTCGCATACACCAAGTGGTAGATAAAATACGTAGCATTTACTAAATGCCGTATATCATTCGCATACTAAGTAAGCTAATGCAAATTACTAAGAAGTTATAGCGAACTTACCATCGTGACATACGGACGGGAAGAATGGACAATAATTTTATTAATATTTAATGACTCGCTATGTTATAGCTGCAAAAATATATATGTTTTTCGTAAATTCTAGAACACGACGTACATAGTTATTAAATACAAATAATCCATATGTATAAATAAAAGAAGAAACTGAGAGACTGATTCACTGACGGAACGATTAATGCACAGATGCAACCACTGGCTCTACAAGCATGAAATTTTGTAGAAATGTTCCTTAGGTGACGTAAGCGTGTACTAAGAAAGGATTTAGGAAAATCCACTCCTAAGGGTGCAAAATGGGGTTTGGAAATTTATATACAACTTCATTATTTTTGGTAGTAGCGTATCCCCTACGATATCTGATTTTGACCACCACGCGGACGAAAGTGCTGACAAATGCTAGTCTCAAATAAGTAATAGTATAGTAGTCTCAAATAGTAATAAATTTAATAATAATAGTAGCAAAACATTCAGTTTTAGCAAACGAAAAAGTCGTAACTGTGTGCATAGGTTTTAAATATATATTAATATAGTAAAGCTAAAGAGGTATTTGTTGGTCTGTTTGTTTGTTTAAACGCAGTAATCTCTACAACTATTTATCAGATTTAAATAATTATTTTTGTATTGAAGAGAGTATTTATAAAAAAACAGAATTAACACCTTGCTAAAACACTTAGGAGCGGAGCAGTGGCATAGACACAAACGACATAGTGGAACAGCCTGAAGTGCCAATCCAAAAGACTGTAACTCGAATTAAAGTGTTTTGCCTTAACAACGCTCAATCAGTTTCTTTACGTCGGTTTAGTACCCCTGATCAACACTTTTGTTATTCTAAAGTGTTTTTTAGAAAGACAATCTAAAAAATACTGTATTGTATTGAAAATAGAATTGTAACATGGTAAAAAACTATAACAAAGCTTTCAAGGTCAAAAGTCCTTTTCAAAGGTTACAGTGTTTTGCATTGGCACGGCAGCTAGTATCAAACATAATGTCACTCTGTTTCTTCTTGACTTCGTCTTTTGAGAACGGAATTTGCCAAATCCGAAGTTATAAGATAACAAACGTTAAAAAAATACAATCGAATTGAGAAGGAACCCCTTTCTTTTTTTGAAATCCGTTAATTGTTAAAACTAGCCGTATCATTAGTATATAATTATAACCTAATTAAGATGTTAGTGTGTAAAAAGGAAATTTGTTTATATTTTAAAAAGATATTGTAAGAAATAAAACCGTGCCAGTAATGTACCACATACATGAACTATTAGAATAAATTACCCAATAGCTGCACAATACAAGTGCTTCCGATATGGTTGGCTTGCTACCGGACGTCAGTTGGCTCAAGCGGTTAGTTCCAAGCCCGGGTTTGAACCCCTCACACGTTGGGAACGCGGTACACGTCAGCTTAACTTGACGTAAAACTAGCCTAAAGTAATTTTTATATTTTATTATCTTTACGGAATTCAAGGACTCAAAATCACACGTTTCTAGAAATTGTATCTTTATGTTTGTGTGTATGTGTGTGTTGGTGGTTGTTGGCGAATATTATTGGTTATTTGGATTGTGATAAAATGTGGTGGTTGGTGAAATTATCTATCGTGTTGCAGTGTAAGTTTATTCAGTTTTGTTTTTAGCAAGTCAATTTTTGCCCTTGCTTTCGCTCGCGTAAATCACTACCTTCCCAAACTTAATATAACTTACTAAAAAGTGCACTTTTCTAAATAATTACACAATAATTCATTCATAATAATTTTTCTTTATAAAAGTAAATGCCTACCTAATCATATTTTCTGTACCCCTAACCACAAGTGTGCAAAATATCATAACCATTGGTTCACCATCAGCAGCCTATCGCAGTCCACTGCTGGACATAGGCCTCTCCTATTGCACGCCACTTAGATCGATATTCAGCTTCTTAACTACTGGTTAAGTGGTTAAAACCTGAAAGATTAAAAAAACATGAACAAATAAACATACAAATTCACTTTAAGATTGTAAAACATTAGTAAGGTAAATAGTTCAGAAAATAGTTTCTGCGTCTGTGTGGCAAGTTTTTTTTAAATACTTACCTACGCTATATTGAGATGTAGCATTTTTATATACCTAGGTATTAAGTACCAAATAGGTACTAGACTTTGGACGTCAATGTAAAATAGTGTTATTTAATAAACAAAGAAGTGTGTGCGTAACTCAAGGTTTGCATGTAAATATGAGCATGTTCACTGAAGTGTATCTGTTTTTATTCAATACTAGCTGAGACCCGCGGTGTTACCCGCGTTTGTTCTTATAACCGCGGGCAACGCCGCGGGGCGAAGCTAGTCTAAAAAAAGTAGCCTAAGTTACTCCTTGTGTCATCAGCTATCTGCCAGTGAAAGTCCCGTCGAAATCGATAGAGCCGTTCCGGAGATTATCCGGCACAAACAGACAGACAGATAGACAAAAATTGTAAAAAATGATATTTTGGCATATGTACCGTGTAAACATACATATGCATTTAGTACTCGTAAAGAGGGTTTTTTAATATTACAAACAGACACTCCAATTTTATTTATTTGTATAGATAGGTTGGACAATATGGGCCGCTGATATTTTAGTACTAAAATCTTCCATCTTAGTTTAACTACGAGACAACGTCTAAAGAGCAATAGAGAGTAACAATTTCATAATTTCATCTCGTAAAACTAATAAAATTTTCAAAATGTCTTTAACGAATAACAGTTGTAACGAGAAATAGTCTGTATCATAAGGCAGTAAGATCGATAATCGCGTAACATTAAAAATAAATATCTTATTAAGGGTAGATTACACTAAATGAAGTGCAGTGTACAAGATAATTAAGTTATTCATTAACTTAGTATGAAATGATAAGATTATATTACGATAGTGATGTACCGTAAACTAGATATATCGATGTTGCTCATTTAGGCTCTATTTCTCTGTTTTTTTTTTATGGTATAAGGGGGCAAACTAGCAGACGGGTAACCTGATGGTAAGCAACTACAACCGCCAATGTATACCTGCAACTCAAAAGTCACAAGTGCGTTGCTGCACTTGGAGTCCCTCCCGCTCGGGGGATTTGTCCGGTAACCTCACTCACTCGGAGAAAGGCAAGAAAAAAAATTGCTTAACACCGGTTTTCTGTGAGGCCGTGGTATCACTCCGGTCGATCCGGCCCAATTTCCTCGGCTTTGCTAATTAGAGCATTTAAGAGAAAATTAATTGACAAATAGTTTTAACTTTAAGTTATGTATTGTTGAATTATGAAGTAGACACTACTTAAGTTTAAGAGAAAATATTATAAATATCATCATGATGGGAACCAGGTGTACCCTAATTAGGAAAACCCTGGCACCCCGACGTACCTTGGGCTATCTACAGCGGTTTAGTGTCCACCTAATAGTATACTTAAACTAAACTAAACAGGTAATAATACAGGGGGTTTTTACTAGTTTTTGTTCTAGGAAATTTAATCGTTTTTATAAGGGAAAGAAGAAGAATGTCAATTGGGGTAAGAAAGGAATAGAGGGTAAGAGATGTTATAAATATCGGATGGGAGATGGGACTAAGACAGCAGTAGCTTGTAGAGGCGTAGGTGGCGTACTCGTAAATCAGTTTTCTTATTGTAAAGGTCTGCGAGGCTCTACTTTTAAAGAGAAACGTTATCATAAATAAGAAAGACCATTTGTACTAATTTGTATTCTGTATTGGTGTATCCGTGTGAGCTTGACTATAGATATTTACAACACAATTTTTGAGGCGAGGCTAAGAAGGTTTGGATGGATAAGTTAGGTTTTGGATTGGCCTCTGTATTGAATCCTAGCCACAACACTCAATGCTATCAACAAATACCAGTGTGACTAACTCAAATGATGATTTATCTAAGTGTAGTTTATGTCGATGATACGAATCTTGTAATTTCATTAAAATTTAATTAAAAGAAAAATAATTACATTTAATGTTATATTTTAACTGGCTTTTGTCCGTGACTCCGCCCACGTGTATGTTGGTTATCACGGTAAAAGAAAGCCTACTTCCTATCTCGAAAATGAAACTATATCCATACTAAATTTCATCCAAATCGGCAGATTCCCCATACCAACTTTTACCCAATTTCGCACCCTTAAATGATGATTTTTGGGACTACAACTGTCCTCTATCTTCTCCCAGGATGCAAACTATCTCTATGCCAAATTTAATCAAAATCGGTCCAGCGGTTTAAACGTGAAGACAGATAGAGATACAGGCAGACACACTTTCGCATTTATAATATTAGTATGGATATCAGTATTGGTACTTACCTAATTCGCATACAAAATATTGGTAATTAGCATTTGAATACGAAAGTCAAATTTCGTCTTCAAATACTAATTAACCTGTAACAATTATTAACTTTCAAAATTTGAATTTAAAAAAAGAACGATATCATCCAGGTGCATAGATAGACCGTCGACTTATAAATAACAATGAGCCATTAGATACAGGTAGTGTAAAAAGTCTTTTGGAGGGAAAGAGGAGGGGGAGACTACGTGTAGTAGTATATTCTTCTTTTTTAGATCAATGTATATCTATTAAAAAACAAACACTTATTGATATTATTAAAATTATTATAAAATATTAATTACAACACAAACTATATATTGCAACACTTTGAAGTTGCTTTCCTTTGTTAGCGTACAAGTGTTAGGTAGATATGAATCCGTCAGTAAACCATCATCCTTGTTACTGTTTGAACTCACTCTTTCTCTGGACATAGTCCATTATCCCATCCATTATAATTCATTAAATATATTAAAGTTGGCAATATATTCTGCAGATTATACCAATAATAATCATTCTCTTTTTTTCAATCAACTGACATGCTTAATAGGCACAAGTTTCATCTGACTTCTTACTAAGTACATACATTAAGAAGTTACAAAAAAAACCTTTAAATTAAATTCGTAATAACCAATTTCTCCAACAACGTTCCTGTAGAATTGCAGTTAACTCTAAAATTAGAATCAAAACTGGACAAATTACATACATTTCTGTAAGTTTTAAAACGAATGTGGTTTTCAAACAAAGGATTACGCGTTGAAAATGTAAATTAAGATTACGATGTTGACTTAACGAATAAGTTCCTTAACACAAAATATTTTGGATTCGCGCCATTCCGTCTCTCTTACAGGTGGAATTGTATATAATTGAATTTGGAATAGCTCGCGCGCCGTAACCTCTGAACCGCGTAAGTGTTGCCATATTGATAAATCATTGTCGTCTTCCCACTAGAAGATAAGAAGGATATTTCTTACTTGTCACGATTTAATGTAACATTTTAATGTTGCGTTAGTTTAATACTTATAAAATATTTCTAATGGCTATGGTCTATTAATGGCAAAGGTAGGACAATTGTCCAAAGGATCAGACATGAAATAAAAAGCAAAAATCAGATCAAATTCAGAGATCATCAGAGCAAATTGTCAGATCAATAATTAGGCTTTACAGCATAGAAGCAGTTGTCAACACTACGCTGTTCGCCTACATTATATCATAACTTAAAATTTACTGAGAACAAGAACAAGGGAATAGTAATTTTACCCAACCAAATATCAACAAGTCAAAAGCATCCTAGAATCAGATTAAATTGTTCTATACTCGTAATTGTCAACTTCCTTTCTAGGGTATACCTGGTTCCCCGGCTATTAGTACCCGAGACGGCGTGATGTTTTAGTCGGTTCGAGTCCGACATGCCACCGATAGGTGGTATCCGCGGGGATTTCCGCACAGAAAAAAAAAGTGCTCGTAATTGTGTTCATTCCAACGCTAGAATAAACTTCAACATTAATGGAGTTTTACATTTACGTCATGTTGTAAGCGAGAACTCTCTGCGTTCCCTAAATTATGATCTACACTTTAAATAAAAACTTGTGAATTCAGCTTAAGACACATTTGAAATTGGAATGTGACACTTGATTTGAATATGGAATAATCTCGATAAAGTTGGCAATGAAAATGAATCTTGGACTAAGTGACCTTGCTAAGCTATACACACTAAAAAAAATTAATAAAAAAATCAAAATACCATATACCATCTTGTTTTTCAAGCATAATTCGAAAGCTGACTGACAGAAAATGCTTAAGGCATTAAATCCGCCTCTCTACTGCAAATGCATAAAGAAAAAAAACAAACTTTAATAGTCCACTGCTGGACATAGGCCTCTCCTTAGAAATGAGGTTTTGGCCTACTATACCACGCTGGACAGACGGGTTGGTATAGGGCTTGTGTCAAGTTTACGGGTGGCCCTGGATAAGACGGAGGCCCTATTATTTCATGGGCCCCGTCGTGGTCCACCCGCCGGCGCCTCAATCGAGGTCGGCTCGGTCCTCGTACCGGTCCGGGCCCAGATGAGGTACCTGGGTCTGGTCCTAGACGGTAGGTGGCTCTTCGACGAGCACTTCCGACAGCTTGGTCCGAAGCTGGTGGACACTGCCTCCGCCCTAGGGCGACTTTTGCCCAATTTGGGAGGGGCCAGTGTTCCCACGAGGCGGCTGTACGCGGGGGTTGTCCGGTCCATGGCGCTTTATGGTGCACCGGTGTGGGTGGCGGCTCTGACCGCCCCGAATAGGGC